ATTTCTTCAGTTCTGGTTATTTGCTTTCCAAAACCCTGTTCATTCTCCAATTCTCTCTTAGTACACAATTCCCTTTGACTTGGACATTTATCTTCGCATTCAAAGTTCTTATTCAAATCTAGTTTGAGCTTTTTAAACTCTCTCCCCTGTTCGCTGTCCTCACTGTCCGTTTTCCCTAACGGACGTTTCCCGATTTGCAAGTCTGTAATGTCGCCAGCTTTACAATTTGCAAGTCTTTCAGATACCACAGCATTTGTCTTATGCTTCTTTCCACTGCCTTTATTGGACATTGGTGACTTCTTCGTTATATTTTTCTGTGACTTTTGTGTGCGCTTATTACAAGCTGTTGTAGATTTATTAATAGCTTGGCTTGGCCTGCCTTTTGCATTTGTTAGTTCCGTCCTGGGATTTATCAGTTTAGGAAATATTTTGAGTTTCTTTTGATTGTAGAAAGTTGACGTCTTGATTCCAGTTTTGTCATGACTGGGCTCAATATCACCGTCACTCATTCTACAAGAAAGTTTAACCCAGTAACAAGCGTTGGAATGTGGTGCATTCATGAATGATTTCCCCCCAAAAAGACACATTTTTTGCATGAGAGAATGCAATTTTATGGTTTTGGTAATGGTCATTCCAGAAAAGATCCACACTCCCCCCCCCCCACAGAGGAAATTTCTGCTGTCCAGAGGGGGAGGGAGGAATGTACTTCTGATAATAATAAAATGTACTAGGATGTCCAAAGGTGGTAGGGGGGTTAACTCTTAATTTCCTCCATGGGGATCGAGCCATGGGTGTATTCTGGAATGATCCAATGATGATCTATTTAAATATTTTGTAAATATGATTTACATGTAATTGCAATGCCCAATCATAACCTATGCATGGAGGCAGGGGGGGGGGGGCAGGGCCGTCATTAAATTCAGAAGTGATGGCCAAAAAGAGATAGTGGCCAGCCAAAATTATAATATGGTGATCAAAGCCAAAGGCATGAGACTCCTATCTAAGGGACTGGTCATAAAGTAAAGGAGGGGGTGGGCTGGGAAAAATAGGGGGTGGGTCACTATTTTTGAGCACAGTTGAAGGGCTGGGTCATCGAAAGTTAAGTGCAATCAAAAGGGTGGGTCATGTAAAAACATGCAGAATTTTTTTCAAGGGCATGTGTATTAAAATTCATATTATAAAAATAGAAGTAAAATGTATCAGGATCCCATGTGTAAAATTTATAAACGTTAACCTCAAACTTAAAAGCTGAATTTACTGTCTTGGCTAATACGTTAGTAGTGACTAACTAATTTTCTGATAATCATTGCTAAATGTCACAAGCTTTGTTTTCGGATGTTTATTATGTAACAAAATTAGTGTAATTTCTACAAGAGTGTAGTTAAATTACAATCATCATTAGCGGTATGGTGTTAGCTGTAAATGTCAAACTAAAGCTCTCTAATTATATGAGAAAGATATTGCACGATGCAGTATGCATTTATTGGGAAGTTCCATGCAAAGAAAGACCTTTCTGTATTTAATTCAGGGCCTCTTAACATATAGACTGGGGAGGACATGTCTCTAAGAACTACCTGCAGTAGGTGGTCAACCAGCAATTATGTATCAAAGTGAGAGAACAATGTTAAGTTGTTAACATTTCTGAATATGACCATCATCTGCAGGCCTGTAACTAGCTATGAGTCCACCGAACTAAACATCGCCAGAAACCTAAACCATGACTGAAATAATTTGCTTGTGGAACAAGGCATGAAATGGCATTTTAGGACGAAATTCTAGTTTCGTTTTTCCAAGCAAAGATACTCCAAAGAGACCACCCAATCTTGCTCTTCAGTGACACTGAGAAGACAAATGCGTTGATTTCAAGTACCCCAATACATGTAATACAGTGCTGTAGAATTTGAAGTGTGGTGAATGATAATACTATACCACACACATTTTAATTACCGCATCATCACACCATGTTGCCTTATTGGGGCTGGATTACATTTGGGAGACTGTGAAAATGCAGTAATTGTGTCACTGTTTATAAGGTTAATTTCTTGTTGGAAAACTCCTCAAAGTGTGGGAAATAGCTTATCTGAGCTTCAAGAAATCCAAGATTTTCTGTGGGGTATGCCTCCAGAAGCTCGTACCTTGGGTGGTCAACACGGTTGTCTTAGAATCCTAGTTACGGCCTGATCTGCTGCCCTATGATGTATACTTATTAGTTAAACCATGCATATATATGCTGGTAGCTGCAGTGCCAGTGATACAGACTTGCCAACTGGAACTTCTCCAGCTCCCCACTAAATATGTCCCCTCCAGTTACACATCCTTAAAAGAGGCCCTGAATTTTAATTGCACCATTTGAATAGCTATTGAGTATTGTAACACAGAATTATTTGGCAACAGAGAAATAGAACACTGGTATCTTTCGCGTTTCTGAAAGGGTGGGTCATAATTTTTCAGCACCAATTTAAGGGTGGGCCACAAATTTTCATGCAGCTATTAAGGGGTGGGCCACCAAAAGTGCAGACACCAAATATATGATTTTCGCAGCCCCCCCC